AGCCCTTTAAGCAGAAATCTATTAGCTGGTAATTACATGCAGGCTAGAACGCTACTATTTTATTACGGCTATAAAGCACTCCACAATTATAATCTGTAGTTTCTGCTGTAAGGTGTTTACTGTCAGAGCGACACCCGATTTACGGCACTGCACCAGCCTGGCCCCCGGGGCCGGAGGTGCCAAGCAGGCAGAGGGTCCTGCCCAGGCGCTGCTCTCGGCCGCCGCTGCCGGCATCCCCCAGAGCAGCCGAGGCCGCCCGGGCCGCGGCCGTGGGCTTTGCACCGCCCTGGGATTACAGCCGGGGAGCCAAGGTGGGGGCCCTGAAGGGCGAGGACGCGGGCACAAGCAGCGGGGAGGTGTTAAAGCAGACCCTGGCAGGAGCTGGACCGGCTCTGGCTCCCCACAGGCGACGCTCGAAGGTCAGCCTTGCTCCTTGCAGGCCTGCGATCCCCGGCCCCAAAGCCTCGGCCCCCCCCCGAGGGGACCAGGCTCCTGGCGGCCGCGGAGGACAAGCCCTCGCCGCCCTCCTCGCCTCCTCCGCTTGAACGGGAGCCCAGGCTGGAGGGCTGCGGCACGGGGCTGGCTTGGCGCATGAAGTTATAATTTCTGAAGTTCCTCCAAAAGGAATAGGGATGCACATCTGCCCCCGCTCAGGTGTAACAAATTGTAAGAGATTGTGTTAAATTATCCCAAAACCGCGTCCGCCGCTGAAATCCCAACTACCCCGGGCCTGGAGCGGTCGCGGCCCGGAGCTGCCAGGGGATCTTTCATCGCCTGGAAGAAAGAAACGCTGCAGACTCAATTTTTTCATCGGTATCGTGCAAAGTCCTCCACTGCCTCCTTCTCCCGGAGAGGGCGAGCGGCCATTCTCCGGGAGGCAGGGGCCGCCAGGCTGCCCCCGAGACCCCTCTCTGAGCTCGGGGACACGGCCCTGGCCCCGGGGGCGGCAGCAGGGCTTAGGGCACCGTGGGGAAACCAAGGCAAGGGAAACCTCCCACGCCCCGCGTGGGCGGCGGAGCGGCGCACGAACCGCGAGCCCGACTACTCGGTGCCTTGCTCCACCGCCAGATAACACGTCTAAAACGTGTTTATTTCCATCCAGGCTGCTTTTTAATTTGATTATTTATCTCCCGTTTAGCCTTTGACAGATCAAAGGCTCGGCGGAGGGGAAGCGGAGCTGGGCTGCGCATGAAAATGAGCCTTGATACATAATTAATTAACATAAAACAGTTTCATTAGGAGATGGTGTTACACGGCTGTTTGTCTTAAAGATTTAAGCTGTGTAAAGGGCACGAGGGAAAAAAAGGCATCTCCCCACCCGGGCAGCTGGGGAGCCCCGACCCCGGCATCGCCCCAGCCCGGCCCCGGCTCCCGCACCCTCCCCGGGGGGCACGGCGACGGGCCGGAGCGCGGCCCCCTCTTCCTTAACCACGTGCAGCGTCTCCTACCCTTGATTATTAATCTGTTTTTAATTCTATTAAGAGATGGCCGGGAGAAGGAGTATCAATTTTAGATTAACAAGGTTATTAGCACTTAATTATGTGAGGTGTCTTTGTAATTGAAAAGGAAAAGAGGAAGCGCCATAAATATCCCCAGCCCCTGAGCTCCTGGGGGTTTGCGGGTGGCTCTTTATTCACGAGGCTGTGGAACCATAAATATTAAATATCTCGCGAAAAAAATTACAAGGCAGAGAGAGGATGCCCTCTGGATATTCCGGCGCCGAATGTTCTTGCATTTACAAATATTCATTAACTGGGATCTGCAAAGTTATTTCCACCAAGACTCGGCGAAGGGGGGAAGAGAGAGAGAGAGAGAGAGAGAGAGAGAGAGGTTATTTTAAAAAAAAAAATAGAGTCTAGAGTAAATATTATTAGTAATTTTTATCTCTGCGTGTCCCTAATTATGGAATAATTAGGGAAAGCGCACATATGCATATACAATCACTAACCTGCCAGTCTCGGGGATTTTCGTTTCCGGCCCCGCTGCGGGAAAGCGCTTTTCCCCCGAAACCAAAAGGGGGCCGCCCGCCCCCCGGGGGAACCCCGCTGCGGCACCGCCC